GGGAATCTCACAAATACGCATCGCTCATTGTTTTATTTTCTAACTAAATTCAGAAATTTTCTTCACCTCAAGTCTAATCCATTTAGCCAAAGTTACTAAATATAACCATTATTTTCTGACAGTGGGTATAGTTTAGGACAGCAGACAACAGAAACGCATTACTGTAAATCTTGCTGGTAATCTGGTTCTAGGGCTTGAATGTCGGCTTGTTGATTTGTTGAAGAAAACTACAGATTATTTTTGTGCACAGATCTCAAGTTCAGTTTATCACAGTTGAGCTGTGGTTTCAAGCAGTTGCTGATGGTTGTGTGTTTGTGTGCAGCTTTAAGCTGGACGGCGATGAGAAGGGCTGGCTGGAGATCAATCCTGCCACTGGAGAGATCAAGACCAAAACCAAGATGGACAGAGAGACACTGGAGACCTTTGATGTCACTGTCACAGCCTTCGAGAAGAGTGAGTGGAGGAATAATAGCAGCAAATTACTGTGAAACTTAGATCTGAGAACTGGTAGGGAATTTAATTTAGACGTTTTCCAAATCTGGATGAACATGAAAGAACCTAAACATAGCATGGAAATATGCTTAGGTGTCACATTATATCCTTAACACTAAATTAAATTAATGATTTCTGAAAATAAAGCATCTTTACTGTGACTTATACTTGAGTCACTCATCCAGCACTTTCAGAAACTCTTTCAGAAATAAAAAATGTATATTTTACTGCTTTTTCAACCTCTTTAGGTTTTAAATGTCCGTGGTTCTTATTCTGAAGCCAAACAAAGTACCGAATAAAAAAATGAGAAAGTACAAACTTTAAAAAATACTTTTCAATGTAGATTAATCCAGCCCAGGTCTGACAAGTCTAAATGTTAAAGATTTTGGTATGGACATGCAATCCTCCATTTCTGGACTCAGTTGAATATTTCATTCCTCAACACGCTCTTGACTTCTTAAAAGTATGAGCCGTAAAGATCAAGTCTGTCCTGCATTAAGTAAACATGGATGAAACACTTTGTTTGTCTTCATGTCCATGTCAGCGTTGTCCCTGATTTGCCTCCACAGAGAATCCTGACCAGTCCTCCGAACACATCGTCCACATCCGGCTGCTGGATGTCAACGACAACGTTCCCAAACTAACAAAGAGCAACGGCTTCATCTGCATGCAGGACATCAAACCCCTCATCATCGAGGCTAACGACGGCGACGCCGACCCCTTCTCTGGACCTTTAGATTTCTCCTTCGCAAAGAAATCTCCCAACTGGAAGTTGACGAAGCGTGATGGTACGCTTGTTTAATAAAAACAAAAGGCTGATCCAGAGATGTGGTTTTCTTGACTCAGATTATGCTGACTTGGCTCTGTGCAGATTCCTCCGCTCATCTGCAGCTGACCAAAAAGCCCCTGAAGGAGGCAACGTACACTCTTCAGATCACCGTGAAAGACAGAGCAGGGATGGGCATCCCAAACCCGTTTGACGGTAACTTATTTGTTCAAATTGTCTTCAAACTGAACCTCATTTTTTTCCCCTCCATTTCTTTTTTGGAGAGATCTTTTTCTGTTCAGTTCTTGTACCTGATGAATAATGACGGTAAATTGCGGCATGTTGCCGAAAAGTGAAGAACGTGGACACATAAAGGACAAAAGGATTTCAATTCAGGCAAAAATGATGCTTCACTCCATGTCTCCTCTCTGCTTTCCAGTGAAAATATGCAACTGTACAGCCTTCGGCTCCTGCTACATCCCACCACACGGAAAGAGCTTCAAATCTCCGATGGGAGTCACTATCGGGATCTTAGGCGGCGTTCTGGGATTTTGTGGTAAGTCAGACATAAAGTTGAAACCAGAGGTTCGGACACACTACAAAAAAACACACACACAAAAAAGCTTTTTTTTTCTCTGTATGATATTAAGTCAAACTAAACTTTATTGAAGATGCAGAATTCTGTAAAGTCGACTTTTTTTCTCTTTTTAGCTTTACATCATGTTAAAATATTATTCCCACATCAAAAACATACTTGGAGTTTTGCCTTGATTTTTTTTTTTTTTTTTTTTTTGTGCGTGTTTGAGAAATACTTTAATCTCCATGGCAACCATTCATCTGTGCTGGGTCCTGAGTGGACATAGCGCTACCTAAACCTCAAAGTTGCAGTTTCCAAGCTCTAACTTCACAGAGCAGCCCTCCCCTACAACTAACCCGCCAGCTCCTTCAGACTAGCCAGCAGCAATTAGCAAACACCTGATGGAATTGCTGAGCTCAATAAATGAGCTACTTCAGAGTGAAAAAATGTTGTTAAAGTTTTAATAGAGGAGTGATGATTTACTGAAGGTACAGTTTCAGAAAGAGCAGGAGTTTCTTAAAGAGACAGAGGCCCAATTTCAAGCCATTAAATATCAAAGTTACATTTCTTTTTAAGTGATATTTGATATTTGTGTCTAAATTTTTCTGCTTCACCTGACTTCATATCTTCTCTCATTGCAGTTGTCCTCTTCATCATAGTGGTCAAGTGTTCAAGTAAAAACAACAACAGCAATCAACCACAGGACGGGGAGCGGAAGCCCATGATGTAGAGACAAGAGTGTGAAGTTTTATTTATATACAGAAAGTATCACAAATTATCTTAGAAGAGTTCTGCAAGCCATACAACACACACAACCTGTTTTCTCTTCCCTAACCTGCATGAAAACTGAAAGCATGCATCTTGATTTGTCTTCTTGTGAGAACGTTGAGTCTTTATTGTTTGGATGTGTCACAAAGAGAGATGTGATTTAACATCCAGCTCATCCGTATTTATTTACGATGAGCATCCTTGTTGGTAAGTAAACAAAGAGAATTACATAGAAAAATTTAAGAAAATCCCTTTTTTCACTTTGAGGTTTTCTGATTTATTTGAGTTTATTTCATGCAAAGGTTTTATCAGTGGAGTCTGATTATTAGGTGCTGTACAGACGAAAGTCTCTCTTGGCCAGCTGAGCGTTCTCACAGCTTGTTGACTTAATGAATTAAAATGGCTTTCTCAGACCGCCTCATTAGCAGTTTCATCGTTTCAAATGATTTAATGTTTTTTTTTTTTTTTTCCTCCAAGGCCCAGCGTCTGCTGATGTTAAGTAACATGCAAATGAACATTTATTGGATTGTTTTTCGTAAAGTGCAGCTTCCCAATAAACAGAAACCTGGGATCTACTTTGGTTTTCACTGGATTTTTCTGTTTTCTGCTGCTCAGCGTCAGGAAAGACGCGTGTCGCTGCAGGTGATGGGGTGACATAACAAACAGCCACTCTTCGCCGTGATTTACAGATCTCATCTGTGATTTCTTGGTCGTAGATTTTACTCTGCGTTTACAGTTGTTGTTCCATCCCCTCCTCCTCCTGCTTGCCAGTCTGTCTCTAAGCATGCGAGGCCGCGGCGCAGCCTCGCAGAGTGATGCTGTGAGTCATCTCTTTGACAGTGGGAGACGGGGCCACAGATTGTCAGCTGTGCTGAAAGGAAGATGGCATGATTGTGGGCTTTTTTTACGCAGCACAATGAGGCCCCCGGCACACATGCATGTGAGGGTTGAGACGGGGGCCCACATGTGCTTCCACGAACATGCACCCACTCCCAGCCGTGTGTCACGTGTGTGAGTCGGGTGAACCGCCTGCTGTGGGATCCAGAAGCCAAAGGACGGAGCCACGACCCGCTGTTTATGTCTGCAGTCCATCTGTATCTGTATCTGAGCAACACTTCTCCACAACAGAGGCGCTCGGAGAAGTTGAAAGGTTGAGGATCAGCAGCGTGGAAGTGGATGAAAGACAGAGTAAACGACGTGATGGATGAACCGCCTCTTCCTATCAGATCATGCACCCACACGCTCACAGACATGCAGCAATATTGCATGTCTGGTGGCCGTTTAGTCACGGCCAGGGAGGACGTTTGTCCCAATATAGAAACTCTGTTGATCTTAGCTTTTAGAATTGATTTTTCATTTCTGGCTGCTTAGATCACAGCTTAATAGGACTGTGTTGCAGGTTAAAATTTGCAATCTTGCCAAGCGTAAGCTTGCAATAAAGCAAAACTGCCCTTTTTGTGAGGTTTATTATTGTTTCATTGAACACAGTTTGTTTAATTAAGGTATGAATAAATATGGATAATTTTGAAATTATCCTTAAATGCAGTTGCTGTGCAACTGGTGTCCTGAAAAAGCACAGATTGGTATGTGCTGCCAGAGCAGCATTTGAGTCTGTGTGGTTATTGCCTACAAAAGTAATTGAGTTTGTGTATCGCCAACTTTAATTGGGTATGCCGTCTGCGCATGCGCACGCTGAATGGCGAAGTTAATTGCTCGTTAGCTTATCTCATTTCCCAACATCAACTCAAGGAGCAAAGCCTCGTTTCCTGGTGGGTTTAAGTTTGTCCGATGTCTTAAAGTATCAGTGAAATACAAATGCAGTCGTGTTCGCATAATTACCGCTATAATTAGCAGCAATAATGTATTTTTGTTGTTGTTTGTCTCAGAGGGATGGTGTGCAGGTTACTTCTGGCCTTGCTGTAAATGTTTCCTAAAGTTGATTTTTTTAAAACACGTTCCTGGGAATATTTAGCAGATTATAAACAGGTTGGTGATTTTTCCAGAAAGTAAGCAGTGAGCTCTATTAAGAGTTACTTCATATATAACCATTTCAATGACTGAGTGTGTTATAACTTTAATTTAGCTCTATCGGTAAATTAACTCATTAACAAGAATATTTTAGCCACCAAGTAGTTTTAGGTGAAAAAAAGTCATTTTTCGCTTCTTCGCTTCCTATTGGTCGAAAGCGTCTGTGGTTTTTTTAAACCGCATACTGATTCAACATTTTTTTCTTTAGTGACTGATTTAGTTTAATTTCCCGCAACATACCAGTATTGAAGCGCCATAAAATAAAATTTCCCACCGTCTCTATTTCTTTAAAACGATGTTAAAATATGTGAACCGTGAGTCAAACTGCGCTCCGCCTGAAAGACACGGTTTCCTCCCCGGGTTTGTGGCATCGCTTCTCGGCTTCTTGGCTCAGATCATGTGTAGTTTCTGTTCTTATCAGTTTAATATCTGATAGTCTCCCATTGGGGGACCGTATATTAAATTGATTTTTAGAACGAGGAGATGCGTTAAGGGCTTGCTCTGCGTTCTCCACGCATCATCCTGGTATTGCAGCATGTCCAGGTGTGGTGCACCCCACTCACGTTGTTTAATGAAAACAGCTGAAACTAGAAATATTGATCTCAGTTGACTTCCAGCTTGTCGAAGCTGATAACTCTCCAATAATATACTAACCATCATTTTAGTTTTAGTTAATGTATGTTTTATGTCCAGGTAGGGATGGAGATTTATTGCACTCATTTCAACATTAATGCGGTTGTAAAGTTCAAGTCAACTCCATAAAAGTTGCGGCTCGGCCTGGTGATGAATTGGACAACTCTGATTTTAACTCTGCTCTTAAGTGAGTCATTTAATGACATGGGATGGTTCTTTCGTTTTGCTGCAGAGCCTACATCTTATTCTAAAGACGCAGAAGCGCATAAACGAGAGCGTCACTCGGGACGTTTGTTCACAAAATATCCTTGCTGTAACGTCAGAGCTTCTGCAGAAACTGGGGGCTGAAAAATGACAATGTGGAAGTGTTTATTTCCAGTAAACTAAACTGAGCGTCATCTAAACACGGCAACTCTGCATCATGCATGTCAAAGAAATGATGATCAAAAGTGGGAAGAATAGAAAACTTGTGTGACGTTTATGAGAGGCACTGAGTTATAAGTAAAGCAATTGTTGATATTATCGAGTCAATCTTATTTTAAATACATATTTTTTCAATATAGAAGGAAGCATGATTTAAAAAAAGCTTCTAATATCAAACTAAAAGAAGTGAACAAGGGCAAAACTTATTGAAGGAATAAATATCTCCAGTCAATAGTATAAGTAACAGCATGGCACAGTCAAATATTTAGATTTTTATTTACATAAATATTAATCACATCAGATCTGATTGAACTGGAACTGAAAAAATGTTCCTATTTTATATATTATTGTAATTTTTAAGATAAATTGGAAAGTTTTCCTTGCATTGTTTCAAATGATATTTTGATAAAATATTTGCCAATTTAAAATTTTTTGATGTTTATTTAAAAAGTCTTAATGCTTACGGTATTAGGCCCTCCTTCATTTACAGATGATCAAATACCAAATATTGTATGGAAAATAATACCAACTATTTCACATTATGCGACAGTCTGAACTGTTGCCATTTATCCTGGATCATAAAGTCACAAAATATTTAGAAACTTGCACTTTGTATAAAACTGACTAAATCTGAGTTTTATTTCTAAAACAATCTAATTTTCTGCTGTTTGGAGCTGCAGCGCCATCTTGTGGTAAAAATAAGACAGTATCTCTCTAAATTAGCCCAGAAAGGTAGTTTATGAGCAGTGATCTTATAAACTATGTTTATCCTGAAGTGCAATGACCTTCAGCGGTTTAGTTGGCTGGATGCCGCGCACATGAAAACAAATAAATGCAGCGTCACGGGAAGCTGTCTGTTCAGCATTTTATTTTCACATACAAAACTCAAACCCCCATAAGTTACAATTTATACATACAACAGAGAAGATGTGTAACATACTGCTGAGGCAGAATAAATATTTGATGTTGCAACAGCCTGATTTTAAAACATGTCCAGCTTATAGTCTTTTTGTACACATCAGTAATTCATGAGCAAAAGAAAGAAAGGCTCTGCTTTACCTCCAAAGGGAAGAATAAAACAACCCAGGAGCAAAACAAACGGGTAATGATCTGTCAGCGAAAAAATAATGTAGATTCTTGACCTTTGTGTTTAGAAAAGAAGCTCAGTGACTGGCTTCTGCTTACAGTTTCATAACACACTCTGTCACCTCAGCCGAAGCACTCTGAGGTCCCCGAGGGGAACAACTCCATCATTAGTGCGTCTCCAAGCAAAGGAGGAGGAGGCTACACAAAAAAATGCTGCAGCTACGGATTTGAGATCGAAACAAGATGAATGTAATTACCCACTTTACTATTTTCAGATTATGTAAATAATTTGTGACCTAAAATGTAAGACTACTTAATTATTTTTGTGTAACTTTTAGGTTGTAACGTTCAGCGTGTGACCCATCAGATTTAACATAAAGCTCAAAGGATCCAAATCCTCCTCCTTGCGGGACTGAAAATGCAAAACCCAGGGAGATAATTCAACTGCTTTCAGACAAGCTGCACAGATTGACTCAGTCTTCGTAAAAAAAAAAAACCCAACAAAAACAAACCACTCCATCCAATAGTGAACTAGACAGCGACAATGATCTGAAGGAGAGAAACAGCTTTCAGTCAAGCTAGCATGGACCAGCTAGCAGCATCAAGATCAACCAATAATTTACACCCTTCATCTGGTTTTAAGTTTTCTTAATGTGATTCACAGTGGCGTGCTGCCCTTCCTCCACCTGTTGCTGCTAATTCTGGTCAGCTGGCTGAAAGAAAGTTACTAAGCATCATTCATGCTCAAGACACCATTTTTAAAACTACCTCTGGGAAGCTGTGAAAGGCTTTCATTGCCACTAATTAACCAGTTAGTTATACTTTATAAAGAGAAGAACACTAGAAAACTCATGTTCAAAAGCATAAATAAATATTTACGATGATAGTAACAGTATAGTTAAAGTTACAAGATTAGCAGTGGAAATAGTTGCTGTTGCTAAACTGCTCAGACCTAAAAGAAACTGGAATCTAATAGGAAAAGTGCAATAAGTCATGTGAAACATTAAATGCGTGTGTTAATACCGTGATAATATGGAAGCGTTTGCCGAGAGGATCTCATGCCTGAGTCAGAGTCGGGCCAGCTAACCAGAACCGCTTCGCTTTTTAGCAGACACGAAGCTCTTTAAACTCTTCTTGCTTAAATTTGAGAATGAAATCATGCGACGTCATCAACAGTGACTGCTGTGCATGACAACGGCTCCTCAACAAGACTAGCAGCATAAAAAAAAAAATAAAACACTAAGCCAAACTAAACTTTTGTGCTGCTGCATTAATATTCCATAAATAGTTAAAAATAGCCGAACGTAGATTTGTCCATGTGGTGTGCTTGGGTTTTAAATCTGTGGCACACAGTTGAATTAGTCAGTGAAAAATCAGCTCAGGACTCATCTTCCTGTCTCTGCGCGCCGATCACGTGAGGGTTGAACTGAGCGATGATGATGGTGATGTCATCACGGTACATGCGAGCCAGCTCCTCAGGCAGCGACAGCATCTTGGACAGCCGCTCGTGGTCCACAGTGCCGAACTCGTTGTTTCCCACCGCGTGGCGCATGAGGTGCGTCGCCGAGTTCTGGTCCTCGAATGCGGAGGACATGCGGGCCTTCCGCTCCTCCAGCAGACCCTGCATCTGTCCCAGAGTGACTTTGTACCCTCCCACTTTAAGAGGCTGCCGCTGGTGAACCCCAGTTAAATACTCGCCGACGATGCGGATCACTTCCTGCCGGTGGAGCGTCTCCCAGAGGCCGTCTGAGCCGATTACCTGCAGACGGAGGAGGGGCGATGCTCAGAAACATCTTGGTCTTACATAAAGAACATACTTTAATCTCTCATCTTCCATTTGTTCCTGCTCTATTCAAATCTCGCTGACAGTCTGGGCTTTCTCCCATTCACTTGGATTCCCTGTCGTAGTTTTCCTACCAGGCCAATCAAAGAACAGAAATCCTGAACGATGACGCCGATTTTCTGCGCCGTTTTAGAATTGGAGTCTCCCTGTAGTTTTAGCGATGGCAGCGGAGGAAGTAAACAAATCCGTTCAGTCTGTGTTGGCCACGCTTTCAAATATTGAATTAGCATTAACATCCGCTCAGCACTTCTCTCTGTAGCTCTGTCTTTAGCAGTATAATGCACCGTCAAACAGGCGCATTGCATGCATGACGGACAACTATTAGTGACTGGGTAAAATTTAAAACTTCAGCATCCAGAGGAAAAGAGAACAAGGATCTGGTCTCTCTTACTAGGCTAGTTTCATCTAAGAGTGAAAAAATACACAAAAATACTTTTCACAAAAAAATAGTGTGAAATGTTCTTTACAAATCAGTTAAATGAAAAGAAAATCTGCAACACATAAAACATTAATGAACCCATACTCTCAGAAAGAGCTTTTTCAAATGTACATCCAACCTTTTTATGTAAAGAGAGCAAAAAGACCACCCTTTCAATCTGGAGAAAAAGATTTACAAACATGTTTTGAAGGACAGACGTGGCATATTTGATGAATATAATAGTAAAAACATCAGTAAAGAGCCTATTCATCAAACCTGAGAACTAATTAGCTCTTAGACATGGGAGGTTAAGGAGGAAGACGCCATTAGTCACTGCAGTATTTACAAAAGACCCCGGCCTGGTTTTCTTCCATTGTATTAAAAATGTCAAGGATCTCTGAGTCAAAGCTAACATTTCTGATTTATTCAGTAGTTTGACAAAATGGAGGGAAAAGTGAGATAATTGGATATTATTTTAAAGGGAAGACTAAGATGAATATCGCAGCACATTGGAAACAAACAAGAATTTAATGACAACTTGTAGCTATTAATTAATTAATTGTATAGAAGAAAGTCTGCAGATTCGTCATTGAACCACTAACGCCTTCTTTTTTCTTTTTACAAAATATTAGAAATACATACAAAAGGCTAATAAATAATTAAATTACTTCAAATAAAAAAATTAATATTTCATTCTCTAAAATGCAAGAACAGCATTCCTTTGGTGAATGCTTGATCATTTGTAGCAAAGGAAGCTGCTGCAGCTAAAAAAATTCTTCAAACATGAGAAGCTAAAGGCGCCGAATAGGATTTTTTTTAACAGAATTTGAGCCAGCTGAAGCTAAAACTTTGCCATGTAAGGAGTTCTGGGTAGAACATATTTATGTTTTTGTACAGTTTTATCTCTAAGTGAATTGTTCTTTCAGAAAATGACCTTCTTTAGCATCTGTATGCAATTAACGATGCATCGATTACTAAGATAGTTGATCAGTATTTCAGTAATTGATTCATCACAATTTGTGTAAATAAATAAAATAATCATCATTTAGGAGATAAATGTTACATTCCTGAATGTTAAGATTTTATTATTCAACTAAATTAAATAAGTCTATTAAAACTTTAGCTATGGCAACGACTGAAATTCTTTCAGACATTT